GGGGGGGGGGGGGGGGGAGGGGATGATTCAGATGAGTGAAGATTTGATCTTTCTTCATTTCAAATTTTTGCTCACGGTCGCCCCTTTTCTGTCTGCAGTTGAAATGCCAGATCATATAAGCAACAATCTGTTGCTTAGTGAAGAGTTTCTAAGGAACTGTATGGAAATGTTCTCAGTTCCATCCAGGGGTCTTGAGGTGGACACACGAGTATTTCAACAAAAGTATCTAAATATAGTTGACCCCTTGAAGGAGAATAACAACCTTGGCCGTAGTGTCAACAGAGGTACAACTTTAATGATTTCTTTATGTGGTTTACAAGATTATCACATAGGAAATGCAGCGTCCTTTTGTTTCTTTGTTCTTTTGTTTCCCTTCTTTGGTACTTTGGTGACTCAAAGAGTATATGAGGAATAGGAGCCTAATGATCTGATTCTGTTGTTTTGGTTTTGGCCACAAAAGAGATCATTACCAAATTTGTTTTGAATGCTTTCAGCTAGGTCTTTATATTTATCTTTGCATTCCTTTTTTCCCATAGCAACCAAAAGTACTAAAATGTTGCTAAGTGACCATGCAGTTCTATTGGCTTAACAACTAGTACCACCTCTAGTTAGATATGAGCGATATGTTTTATGATTGCCTACAGAAGAGTAGATAAAGTCATTTAAGAGTTATTATGACTGTACAAGAGAAATTTTGGAAAAGAAAATGTGCTTGTCTTGTTATTCCCGGAAAGAGCATGTTTTTGGTGCTTCGGGTTGGTGTTTAGGTGGTGTGTGTTACTTTATCTCATGCGTAAGTTATGCTTTGATTCCCTCCAGGGAGTTTCTGTCGAATACAAAGAGCTTTTAGGTATGGGGCCCGCAAGCTTGGGAACATTCTTTCGTTACCATCTGATAGAGTTGCCGATGAGATCAAGAAGTTCTTCGCAAATACTATTGAGAGGCGTAGACACAATCTTTTGGCTGATTTACAAGATTCCGGCCTAATATATGGTGATGAAGACACATGTTCTTCGTTATCCCCTGCTGAATCGTATGCTGACAATAGAATGCTTCTGAAATCATCCGATGGTGATTTTGAGAATGATAGCCTGAAAAAGGTATTTAAATCAATGTCAAATGAGTTGTCGAGTAACTTGATGAATGGAGTTTCTTCAGATATGGTGTCAGAAAGTGGCTCCTTTCCAGATGATGCAGCATTGTCAGGATTCTTTCTATCTACGGATGAAAGTGATCATTCAGCTTCTGATCCTCTAAATCTTGATGTTGCAAATGGAACATATGACTGTTGTTTTAATGGAAACTCCATGAATTTTCTTTCTAGGAAGCATTACCATGATCCTCCGTTTCATTTCAATAAATCATGTGTTGAAAATGGAAACTCTGGGCCTGAGAATCTGTGCCAAAGTGACCTATCTGATTCTGGTTTGTGGGTAGAAACCAGAGAGTGCGCTCTGGAGTGCAGCAGCATATACCAATCAGGTACAGATTATAGCGAGAGCGTCTGGTCTGGTGGTTCAGTAATCTCGAGTCCAAAGACCAGTATTCTAGGAAGTTTATCTCTCGATATTGGGGAAAGGGACTTGGCGAGCACAGCCGGAGATGTTGAAGCTTTGAATCCTTTGGTGGACTTAAGTGGGGACTATGACAGCCATATACGGAGTTTGCTCTATGGCCAGTGTTGCTATGGTTTTGCTCTGTCAGCACCAGTACTCAATAGTCCATCATCACCATCTCAATGTCAGAACAAGCACTTTTGGGATACTGTGCGGCAATCGATGCCACTTAGACAGAACTCATTTTGGCAAACAAATGTGAATGGCATGCTTGTAGGACCAGCTGTTCACCGTCCTGATAATTATCTACCATCTACTGCTACTTTAGGTTCTGAGAAGAAAGAAACGGCACAAGGAATTGGCACCTACTTCCCGAATTCGGTAGTTTGCTCCTACAGTCTGTGCAGTTCTTTATTTCCCATCTTTATTATATCTCAGTTTGTTCAGATAAGTCCCTTTTCATAAGCTAGGTGCCTTTTTTGTATCACCCCCCTTTTTCCTTTCAGGAATATCTGACCATGTCATTAAGATTTGAAAAACAACCCCTTACGAAGACTTATTCTTTGGTGTCTTGCAGAATTATTCTTTCCAGGAGATACGGTGTAAAGGAAGGACTAGGATTAAGGCACCAAGAAATCATGGTCAGTTGCACATGCATAGTAGCACTCATAGTAATAAGTGGGTTCCTTCTCTTTCCGATGCAAATCGTTCAGAAAAGTGTACAGTAGAGATTTCAGCTGTGCAATCTTCTGTTCAAGTTCGTGGAAAGTTTGCTGTAGCTAGCCAATCTGATAAGTTCCTCAAAGATCTTCATGACAATGATTTCTCGCATTCAACATGTATAATTGAGTTTGGATCTCTGGGGAATCTTTCTGAAGATGCACTTTCATGCACTTCTCATGACGTGCTCCTGATTCCAAGTGTCCCGCAAAAGGTGCAGCTTCCAGAATCTGTATGTAGTAAACAAGAAAGGTAAGAGAAGTTCCTGTTTTACTATTTTCGGGCTGTGCAGTAGTAGTGTAGTCTTTGTTTGTTATCAGACGACAATTAAGCCAATCTAATTTTGCTTTCAGGGCTGCAGAACATTTGTTGCGCCTTAAGAATGAAGATGAGTTCCCTCCTCTGTCTTTGTCGAAGGGTTAGGACTGACTTTCTACTTGTATGAAGACTTCAAGGGAATTTTTACAGTAAAAGCTAACAAAAGCAGATACTTTTAGGCAGATATCAGATAAGAAAGAGAGAATTACAGAAACTAAAACAGAGTATGTCTTTTTACCTTTCTTTGCATTATTTAGTATCTTTTTGGTAGTGAGAGAATACAACAACTCCAGCTCAGTTCCAATCTAGTTCGGGTTGGCTAGTGTAAAATAGGCATGCACATTGTATAGCACCTTTGGCAGCATAGAGTTGCTGCATTAGCGGTACCAGCATTATAAACTTAGTTCCTCATAGAGAACAACTTTGGTTCTGTTGACTGACTTTTGTTTTCATCTGTTTTACTTCATCTTTGCTCTCTGATTGACTATAGTCTTTGTTCCCTTCTGTAGATTTGGCTGTATATATTTTATGTCTGATGATAATATCTAGTAGTCTTCTTTCCCTTAAAAGAAATGACTGTTTTAACATGACTTTTGGCTTTACTACTACATATCTCAGCCTATTGTCGTTTTACTGAATAGCTGTTAAATATTGTGGCATTGCATGTCACAGAAAACCACAAGCGGAGGTAAGCTAAGCTTTTTATTTGAAGATCATGTTAATGTGACTGCTTCATTGCGTGTAATTGCGTTGATATTGAGCGCGCGCGCACGCACTCTCTCAACCAACAATAGACCCTTGCGCCCACAAGAAGTCCTTTCCTTCGTTAGTCTATTACCAACTAGGGGTCATTTGGTTCGGAAACAAGTTATCCTACGATTAATTATCCCAGAATTGTTATCTCACCCTCCCATAGGGATAAAAATAACACTACAATCGCGGGATAACTAATCCGGAGATTAGTTATACCGCGATTTTCTCCCAACTGAATATGGGATAAACTCATCTCAGATTTAATTATCCCTTATCCCTCGTACCAAACAAGCCGTAAGTATGGTGCACATTCGATTTAACTCTTATTCTTATCCATGATATTATATTTGTTCTTAGTACTTTCATTAACAAGTTGTATTGGACAAATATTTATGCCATTAGCGGCTAAGCAAGGGGGAGGACTGCTAGCTCTAGAAAGAATTTTGATGAGTTCAAACTGAATGTTCCCAAAGTTAATTTCCCCCAAACCCAAAGGGATGTAAGTGTATAAGTAAAAACTTTAAGGGGCGTCACTGAAAATTGCCCTAATTTCATTTTCTGCTGAATCTGCTCTTTGGTATTGCCGTATTGGTATTTTAAAAGATGGCCTATCGTCAATTCAGACCTCTTTTAACTCATAAAGCTAAGATGTCTTAGATTTGTACTTTGCACGTCTCTATTGTTTTTGTTTGGTCATTTTCTTCTATTTATATTATTATTATTATTATTATAAGTGGATATAAGAGATCATTTGCTCCATTAAACAGTAGCATAAAATCATATTTTGTGAATATATATGCAGATAAAAGAGCTTTGCTTCTTAGTTTTGAGGTTAGACTTAAAACCTTAAAGTGCTTAATTTTCTTATATCTTACACCTAATATTCCAACAAACATCAATTAGTATTGCTATGAATCATCTAGTTAAAATATAACCTTTTAGTCATATGTTTTAATATTCATAAATTACAGTCCTAACAACCCATTCTCTGATGCTTGTGAATATGAGATATTGATCATAGCTTAAACCTAATAATCTCAAAATTTTCAAAAACTCAAAAGATCAACAAAAGTATAGTTTTACCCTACTGATGACAGTATTGCAATAGTAATTCAACCTAGTACGTGAGAAACGATTGATTCACACAATTGGTCATTGCGCTTGGCCGAAAAGCCAGTGGCACAAAGCTACCGTGTGCTGGATTATAAATGAACGCCTCTAAGTCAGAATCTGGGTTAGAAGCAACACATGTACCGTTGTCTTCTTGCCTCGCAGTAGGAGCCTTTGGACCCAAGGTCACCTGTCGTTGGCTAAGTCTTCGCGGCGGAACAGCTGCGATGATCACATTGAACTACAATTTCCATTGAGCAGCAGGTAGAATCTTTTGCAGACGACTTAATACGCGACGGGGTATTGTAAGTAGCAGAGTAACTTTGCTGCCATGATCCATTAAACTTCATCTCTTTGCAACTCCGATTCGTTTTAAAAAAAAAGAATAATAAGAAAGAAGAAAAGCATAGTTATTATTTTGTTTCAAGGTGAAATGAACACGTGCAAATTGTAAGTTTTTATATTTTTAATTATAAAATATAGGCTCTCTCTCAATTATTAGATCAGATGAGACGAGAATATTGTGTATACAATCATATGGGATTTGATTTAGAGAAGAATTTTGTTGCCCACAAAAAGATGCCGTTTGCCTCCAAATAAAGTTATGTGGATAAGAATAAAACTCAGTATTGGTGGGATATGAAATAAATAACCCCACATTTCTTAATGCTTTTTGCTCCATGTGATATTTGCTACTGAAAATGAAGTGCTTTTTCTTAGTCAACTCACTCCTTGATGGAGAATTTAGACAAGACTTCTCATCTTTTATCTTTATTGGATTTTCATTTTTTGGTATTCGAGTTAGGTTGTGCGTATTTTATTATGAATTTGCATATTTACCAACTACTAAAAAAATAAAAACTAGCGACAAATAAATTTTATAGCTAAATAGCAAAATTTATTGCTAATCCTATTTAGCGGCAGGTTAGAGATAAGTTATCAAAAAATTTTGTTAATTGCGAGCGATTTAGCAATATATTAATGATGAAATTCGTAGCTAATTTTCATTTTCCTTTTGTAGTAGTCACTACTGACTAACATAACTGCCGACTAATTTTATCTAAAGTTTAAGAAGATGAGAAGAAATCACTAAACGTTATTTTTCTGTCTTTATTAAAATTAAAATTCTAATATCTATTTTCATCTATCTTTATTTATCGGGACGTAGACTATATATACTCCTGGTGTGCTATTTTTTTCCTTTTATTTTCTTCTTTCTGGTTTTATTTAATTTTTCATTTGAAATAGACAGGACCCTTCTTAGCTAGTTATATTCAATGTACGTTTCATCCATATCAACGTGGTGGGTCTGGAGTTGCTCTCTCAAGTCATTATTCAATGTACAAATGAAACAACTCATGAATATAACGTATAACAAAAAACAATGCTGTTCAAATTACAGCATAAATTCATACATCAATATCAACTTCTCAATATTACATTTTTAAGAACTACGTAAAGAAAAAGTAAACAAAACGTTCGAAAAGACTCAATATTAAAATAAAATAAAACCTATTTAACGCTTCAAGTAATAATATAAGAATTCAACTAATCGCTATTTTACTTGGTCTTAGGAATATCGATTATTTCAATCTAGTTATTTGAGTTGCAAGAAATTCGAATTTGTAATTTCATTTTATTTTCTAAATTAGAGGTGTGAAAATCGATGTACTCTCTAACTGAACTTAAATTGAATTATAAAAGCTTTCTTTAACTTTTGGAAGAAGACAAAAATTCGTAAACATACGTATTTTCCTCCGCTTGAACCAACCAGTGGATTAGAAAAAAAAAAGATACGGAAAATAATTTTCTGAAAATATTGTTCAAAAATAATGTTGGGAAACGAAAAAAGAAGTAGGATACCGAACATTGACATTAGGAAAAAATAAGAACCTTTATACTTTTTCAAGAAACAAAAGGGACAGAGATAAATTGTGCTACATTTAGTAAACTATTTTTTTTTTATAGATATAGATATATTAAGTTAATCAATGGAATTTATTTAATTGATATGGTCAACTATTGTTTAATAATTAGTAGATTGTTATGCAGTCGTGCACTGCCAATTATTTATTGATTACGTGATAATACACCCAACAGGAGTCACCTTCCTTTTGTCTTTACCTTGTCAAAGTCAAACTTGCAGGATTAAACCATTAAATGTGATTTTATAAGGTATGCGAAAATCTTAAAAGACTGAAAATATCTCATCGAAAGTATATAATATTTCTACTGGTTATTAGTACTACTAGAAACTTGTTTAGGTATTTATGTTTACATATTCGAATTGTTGAAAAAAATATTGACCGCTTAAATTAATGAGAACTTCCAAATATTTCATTTGACCTTTTACTTTAGTAGTGAATTCTGTTTTCAACAAACTGTAATAGCAAAGATTTAAGCTTTTTCATCAAACATGGTTAATAAATACAATAAAGTTTTACAAGTAATGACACCTACTCAAAATTTGTATAAGAGTTATGAAATTTAACAAAAAAAAAAAAAAAAAAACCTCAAGAGTCCTTCCCACTTAGTTAGTCGTGCATTTTGTATTTTTTTTTGGTTTTTCAATAATTATTGATCCATAACCGATAGTGAACGAGATTCGAAGAGTAATATCCAGTTGAGGGAGAATATTATGGCCCCCTATCTGTCATGCGTAACCGTTTACCGCGTCTCACGAGGTCTAGAAGTTACTCTCGGTTTGGGATACATTGTTTTACCATATCCGATGTCGGATATATTGTTCATTCTACCTAGGTCTCGATATGAGGGGTTTCTGGCCTCGATTATAATCACGCCGATCCGGGCTTTCCCTTCGTTCTCTCATCGGGGAATAAGAGAAATTTTTGCTCTTGATTTTACCCGTACACAACGGCGGAAAGTTCCATATTGGGGGGAGGGGTGGAGGGACAAAATGCTCCCTAACAAAGGTGACTCTCCATACCTAGAGCTCGAATTCTGATTAAGAATGAAGGAGTATTTATCCCTCCACCATAATTTTTATTGGTGCATTTTGCAATTTCATAACGGGGTGTATCTAGTTTGACAATTAATTGGTCTATGATGCCACACGAGTATTAAATAAATGAAGGTGTGCCTCAATCTCACCTACTTCTGTATCTCATTTTATTGACAATATCATAATTGTCTTCTTAATTACTACAAATTGTAGTATTGTTTTCAAAACTATTCTATTCAACTTATGCATACAACAATACATGAGTGAAGTCAAAGTTGTCAAGTGCCAACTTCCCGGCCCCAACTCAATGAAATGGATGTTTTATACTTATATTCATATATGTTACTATTCGGTTGGTCGTTCTGAGTAATTGTGCTTGGTTTAGCAGTTTAAGGTCACGAGTAGTTTCACAGAGTGTATTATGACTTGTGTGCATTATTGACTCGGGTTTTTGAGAGGTTCGGAAAGGATTTTAGGGAGTGACTCTCATTTGAGAAGCTCGAAATTGAAAGAATTGACCAATATTTAACTTTTGAGTATTTGATCTCGGATTGAAGTTTTAATGGTTCCGATAGGCTCGGATGATGATTTTAAACTTAGATGTGCGTCCGAATTTAGATTTGGAGGTCCGTAGCATAATTTGAAGCGTTTTGGCAAAATTA